CATGCCATGTTTCTGAATGAGAATGTTTCCCCAGATTACTCCTAAATTTTATATAACACCATTTAAAGTCCTGATTTGGGGCACCAGTATAAGCATGGTCGATGAATGATTTCCACAGCAGTTCATTGCTAGAATAGTTAAAGTATTTTGTAGCACTAGGGTAGAATAACTGGAATTGTCCTAACAGTTTACTAGACAGAACGTAAATATTGACTCCATGTTAGATAGTAAGTGGACAGAACTGCATTCAGAAAAAGATGCAGTGTATATAAGAATCTAATAGAATAAATATGATATTTCAAATCAGTGGGGAAATTATAATTCTGCAGTTACACAAGATTTTGGAAGGCGCTAAGCTAGCTATTTGGCATGGGAAAAGAGTAGATTAATCACTCCTTTCTGCTAAAATATGTTCTGTCGGCTCGGCGCTTGTAGCACAGTGGCTATGGTGCCAGCCACATACACCAACACTGGCAGGTTCGAACCTGGCCTGGGCCAGCTAAACAACAATGACAAATGCAACAAAAAATAGTCAGTCATTGTGGCATGTGCCTATAGTCCCAGCTACTTGGGAGGCTGAGGCAAGAGAATAGCTTAAGCCAAAGAGTTTGAGGTTGCTGTGAGCTGTGACCCTACAGCACTCTACTGAGGGTGACATAGTGAGACTCTGTCTCAGAAAACTAAAAATAAAATAAAATACATTCTATTTGAATTAATAGAATAAAGATGAAAGAATAAATAAAAATAAAGATATAAATAATAAAGAATAAAGTATTATTAATAATAAATAATAAAGTATTTGTAAAAACTGGCTAAACCTGAAAATGGATTATTTCATAATCCAGAATAAAGAATAAATAATAAATAAAGATAAGGAATAGAGATAAAGAAAAACTAGGCTGACATCTTTATAGCCTTGGGATGTGGTAGTAAAGATTTGATACCAGTGGCAGAAAATGAGGGAAATGATTAGTTCATTTGACTAAATAAAAATATAAAATGCTGTGTAGTAATGACTTGTAAAGAAGGCTGAAAGACAAACAGCAATAGGAAATATAGTTGTAACATTTTGGTCAAAGGATCGCTATTCTTTTTACTTAAAAAGCCTTACAAATGAAGAAAAAGATTAATACCTGAGTAGAATGCAGGCTGAAGAGCAGGCAATTCTCATAAGAATAAATGCATAATTAGCATATGTAAATGATTTTCTTGATTTAACAATCGTACTTGTAGCCTTTTGTCCTGACAAATACTGCAATAAGTACAAAAATGAGTACAAATAAAATTAATAGTCATCGGAATGATATTACAGCAAAAAAAAAAGTACTGAAATTGGTTGAATTTTATGATACCATGCAACCATTAGAAACTGAATTGTGTGTTTCTATATATATTGTCATAGAATTTTACTATATTTCTTAGTGAAAAGATAATTATTGAGCAATGTGGGTAAGAAAGGAATTAGTGAGGCCACTTCAATGAAGACGCCTGGGCAGGGCACGGTGGCTCACGCCTATAAGCCACACAGTGGCTTAGCACTTCAGGAGGCTAAAGCAATGGGATTGCTTGAGGCCAGGAGTTGGAGACTAGCCTTACAACAAAAAAATAGAAAAATTAGCCAAGTGTGGTGGTATACACCTGTAGTCCCAGCTATACTTGGGAAGCTGAGGCGGTAGGATCCTTCGAACCCCTTTGAGTCTGAGCTTTCACTGATTATACCACTGAACTCTAGCCTGGGTGACAAAAGCCAGGCCCTGTCTCTTAAAACAAAATGAATCAAAACAAGAAAAAGACATCTAGATAAAAATAAACCAGGAAGTTAGCGGTGCATTTATTTGTGGATATGATTTCAAGTTACATGTTTGTTTATATAATTCTGTGAATTGCTTGAGTAAAAGTAAAAACAGTAAACAATGCATAGATTTGACCACAATAAATTTGATAATTGTTTATACAAAAAATAAAATAGAAAAAAGGAGGCTATTGATTTGGCCTGTGAACTTTATAAGGGCAAATGTCAGGTCATTTTGTTGAATAACAACATCAACAATAAGTAACTTAGTAAATAAATGTTAGATGAATGCCTTGTACATTGATGCAGGTGGCACTTTTCATCTCTGTTTTCTAACTTTTTTGCCATAACCCTCTTCACCTATGATTGACATTTAGTCACAGTGTTGGATTTAGCAGCACAGAGGTCTTCTAAAAGATTCATTGTTTTAAGACTCTTGAAATATATAAAAGTTATTCTGAATATAAGCCATGAATTATGTGTTTGTTTTTATGCCTAGGCACTTTTTTAAAGGAAGAAAGAAAATGTAGTACTTGGAACAAAAGAAAAATGTGAATATACTTTCAATCTAGGAAAGTAAATTCTGAGATATCAGAAAATAAATTATGCATCTCTAGTACTTTTTGCATTTATTCTTCCCTCTCCATTTAAACATCTACTTCCCTAGTCCAGTCCCTCTTCACTTCCTGAAGCACAGCTCTGATTATGACCTACTGACCGAAAACTTTTCCTTGTGGGCCTGGAATAAAGTGTAATCCTTTCATCAAGCCTTGGGGTATTTAATATAGTGATTAAGAATGTAGATGGGAAAGGAGATTACCTAGTATTTAATACTCTTCATATGTCAAAGTCTTCACCTTTAACATTTGGATAAATAATAGTGCTTAATTTGTAGAATGTTTGGAATTAAATCACATATTTCATGAAAAGCACATAGTGTAGTTCCCGGTGTGTAATAATCACTTAGGAAATGTAACTATTTTTACTGACACTAGGAATGCAATTGCCTCTCTTGATCATGCTAATATTAAACACGTTTCACACATTTTCTCTATTAGAAGTTTGCAAGTCTCTTAAAGAGAATATATGATAACCACTACCCCACTCATACCTAATTCATTGGTTTACATATAGGAGGCACTAAGTAAATAAATGTCATTTAACTGTAAATGCATAAAAGCAAATTTTTCCTATTGAGATAGGTGCTTTGGCTTTGAATTGTCACTAAAATATGCAGAGTAGTAACTTTCTTTGTAAGTAAATCTTAAGTTTAGACAGTAGGATATTCTAATAAGAAAAGTGAGTGCCAGCCTAGATTTTTTAAATGGTTGGGAGAAGTTTTTATAAAAATTATTTCACAGTTTTTAGCACTCCTTAACATCAGGGACTAGATATGGATCAGGCATTCATATATAAGAACATTATAGAAAGAGCTGCTGCAAAGGGCACATACATATGAGAAGATTAAAAAGATGGAGCTTCCTAGTAGTTTTAGTTGGTGATACGGCAGTTAAGTAAAGGGTAATTTTGACGAAGTAACAAAAATACAAGATTTTTAGAAACTTGGTGTAAAAGAAATGTTTAAATTTTGCACTGAAAGATTAATAGCTCCAAGATAGTCACTAAGATTGTTAGATGCATCTGGAGTTTCTCTGAGAGATGGAGTATTTAAAGATTTATTTTAAGTTTGGTAATTAAAGAATTTCTTTGGGCTTTTGGTTTGACTAGAGGAGATAACATAAGGGGATTGAGGCCAAAAAAGAGTTAAGAGTCATTGTAGGTTAGTGATTAATGGCTTTACTACAGAGCCTCCTATTAAGCTGTGGTTTCAAACTCTCATCCAAGCTTTGTGTTTCACAGACTTGTTGAGCCCATTAAAGAAATGGAAGTCTCGATATCTGATGGAGCAGAATGTCACCAAGTTACTTCGACCTCTGTCTCCAGTCACACCACCCCCTCCCAGTTCAGGCTCAAAGAGCCCCCAGCTGGCCACACCTGGTCCATCCCACCCAGGAGAAGAGGAGTGTCGAAATGGATATAGCCTCATGTTTTCACCAATCACATCTCTTACTACTGCTAGTCGCTGCAACACTCCTCTGCAGTTTGAGGTGATTTGGGTTTGGTGTTTGGGAGTGCCGGATATGAAAATCATCATTGTACCTCCTCATTTCAAATATAATATCATTCCAAATGTTTCTTTACTATCTTCCATCTCCATCTCAGCAGGAGAATGGGAAACCTCAGGGTCATTGTGGCCTGTTAAACCTGGTAGCCTCTCATCCTGGCAGCCCCTGTACTTCCAGAATAGGAATAGTGCTACCACAGACCCCATTCATCTATCTTTGCATGTAATCCACCAGTCTCCATAATTCTAGGTGGTAAGCATGCTAGATCTTTGTCTTTATCTTTACTGTATACCTTGGTCAAAATAGGCCTCTAGCTGCCTCTAGTAGCTGTTAGTAACAGATTATGCTGATTGATTGTGTCTCTGTTTCTAGGCCTTTAAATAAGTGACGTGTCTGTCCCAGGTTGTTTGGTATTTTCATTGTGGCCTCAGTGAACAGAGATGTAGAACGCATTGGGATATGGTTTATGGTGAATGCGGACTTTTTCCCACTCCAGGCTACTTTCACTCCTTGTTATATATAATGTGTTAGGAATGAGAAGTAGATAAGAAGCTAGCAACAAGCATTGGCTTTCATTCTTTGAGTTAATTTAGAAGTGTCTGCCTCAACGGTTTCAAAAAGTATTTCTGAATCCCTTTAGTATTCAGGTTTGAGTGACAGCAGGTTTGAATAATTTAAAATTTTTCCTATTACGTGTTGCTTTGGTTTGTAATTTAATTAAATAGATACTGTCTCTACCTGCTTAGAGAAATTTGTTCTGACCACTAAACACTCAACTCTGCCCCCAGCTTGCATTTATCCAAATGGGTTTTTTTGAGAAAGGTAAATGTTGTCACCAATCTCATCTTCCCATTTTGTTGTTTATGAGAGTGTGAGGATTAAAAATACCCAGATTTTTATATGAGTAACACAAAAGTAGCTAACAACTTTGAAAGTAGAGCTATATTCTGTAACTCCAGGTTTATTATTAGAATAAACCTCCTTATGGGTGGGGGGAAAAATCTGATTGTATTTGATTTTTCTAGGGAAGTTATTCTGTACCAGATTTCTTGTAGCATTCTTTTTAGCGAGATAATAAAACAGCTGATTTAGACCTCTTTAACTTTACTTTGTCTACTTGCAATTGACTTTTCAGTTAACAACTAGAGCTATTATAATAAGACATGAGAGGAATTCGCACTAGAGGGCAATAGATTATAAGAATAGAGTTTCCTGTTTTATCAATGCAGATTTTGTTATAACTATGAAATTATGAAGATTGGAAGGTACATTACCTTCTAAAATAAGTGGGTTTAACTGAGTGCATTCTCTATCCCTTGTAGCATTTTGGATAACTTTGAAACACTATGCAATTACAAGGTATTTTCATTTTTTCTTTTAAATTAATGACCATTTTAGTGATGAATAGTCTAAGTATAATGTTAGAATACCAGGTGGGAAAGAAAATATTCTGTTAACTAGTAATAGGCCCGGTGTTCTATATTACACACTCTTCTGGGTTCTAGTCCAGACAGGTAGGGAGCCTTTCTTCCATCAAAGACTATGACACATAGGAAAATGTTAAAAAAATAAAAAGGTGTCATAAGTGAAGACTAGCTTAGTTTGGGGAGAGTTACTTTTGAAAAGCATGAAAGTGTTCAGGAAAAAGATGAGGTAAGCAGTGGAAGAAAAGATTTAGGACCTTCCTAATCCTGCAGCCCTTTAATACAGTTCCTGTGGGTTGCGACCCATAGGTTGAGAACCGCTGATTTAGGAGAAGAAAGCATCTAGAAAGAGTGGAAGCAACACTGGAAAGGGAGCAAGATTAGTTAGCTTCTCTTTACCACCAAAGTAACCCCTTCTCTTCCTGTCCTGAGAGCCGTACTTCACTCCCCATTTCACATATGTGCATACCCACATATACTGTCCACTCCTCTGTCAGATAAAACGCCTATTAAAACTCGGCTGTGCTGAAGCAGCCTCATTTTTTCCTAGCACAGTGTAGATCTGCCCCCAGGCCACAGTGGTCCAGAGTCCACTACATTAGGGACCCTTCCCCTACCTCAGCCTGCCACCTTGAATCCTCATCACACTAGCACCATCTCTCTCTACACTTGTTCTTGTACCTCTTTCCATCAAGAGGTCACTGCCCGGTCCCTATTTGTTATGGGAGCACTACCTCAGGTAAAATCCCCAAGGTGAAAAGTCCTACCCTGTATGGGACTCAAGGGCTTAAGATATACACATATGCACTTTCTTTGCTTTCCCCCCAAAAGTACAGTGGATTCTAACCAAGACAACATTGGTAGGGATGCTCAAGTTCAGTTAGATTATTGCAGGACCAAATCTAGTCTGTGAGCTAGGGTTCCATTTTTCCCATTTCTTACAATTATCATTCAGTAGCACTGGCCATCTGCCTAGCCTTGTCAACCCTCGGCATGCATAGGTGTCTCCCTGGATAGTAGTGGTGGGCCTGAGGCATGTAAGAAAATAAGGAAATGTAACAATCAAAAGAGGTGTGGGGTGAAGGAATGAGGTTCTTCCAAGGATGTATAAGGGGTAGGGTGTCCCTCAATAACAAATGCTACAGGTTGCTAAACTTTAAAATACAAAAATAGTATAACACTATAAAATTTCACCAATCTAACTTTTTCCTGATATGTGCTTGAGGCGTTTACTTATAGCATGAAACATAACAAATTTATCCTTAAATGCTTTCAAAGATACCAGGAAGCATTTTAACAAGTCATGCTGTCCACTGAGATGAGTTCTGCAGTTAATTAAACATTTCCCCTGTGCATTCTTATGCACCCACCTGGCCCTGAAAAAAGTTGTGGCTAACATCTATGCTTGCTTTTATTTTTTGTTTGTTTTGTTTTGCTTCTTGACTTCGAGTAGATGAATAACAAGATGCTTTTCCCTCCTCTAGAACATATCCTCCCCTGAGAGTTCCCCTGCGCATAGGCCCGAGTCCCTGTCACCCGAGGTAGTTATCACACCATCTCAATCACACTTGGAGGCTGAGAGTGAGTGTGTATGAGTGTGTGGGGAGGGATGGGGGTCCGAGTGAGTGGGGTAATGGGCTGGAGGGTGGCCATTAGATACAATAAGTTGAATGAATCTACCTGCGTGACTGTGACTTTGCAGGACCATCACTGTAGATGGAGGAAAATGAAGTAGTGCTCTGTGTGTGTTTGTGTGTGTGTGTGTGTGTATGTGGGGTTGGATTTTGTTGTTGGGGGGAGGGGGGTGGCTGCTTTTAAAGAATAGAATCTAGAAGTCAAGTTTAAAGGATGCTGAATGTGGTAGGAGCCTTGTTAAAGAAAGTCTAATAAATAAGGTCTGTTTGTTAACAAATTAGGAAGGTTGAATCAAAGCTGGTAGGAGCCATCTCTTGATATTTATTACCTTAGGTTAGAAGGAACAGCTTACAGTGGAAGACTTGGGCAGTGACTTAGGCCTTTTTCTAGGGTTAATCTGACAGCTTTGTATAACCAAATGTTCTGGGCTTTGGTTGATAGATTGAGCTGCTTCTTTAGGAAAAGAAAGTAATTCTCTCAGCTTTCTTACATTTTCTCTGTAGTTTCTTACTGTGAGTACACAAGGAAACCACATCAATCCCTGGCTTTGTGTGACAGGCCACCATTTGGCAATGGTTGGGATATGGAATATGGTGCTATACAAGTGATAATCTCTTAGGGTATCAATTCTGTGCTTTTCTCAGAAACGCTACTGCTATGGAGATGTTAAGTTCAGATTTTAGTGCTAGCTTAGTAATGATTAACTCTGAAACTACATGGGGACCTTTTTTGTCTTGAAGACAAAGTTAGTCTTTCAGAAATGTTTAACTGAACTTTTAATCCCACCCACTTCCGATGAAAAGTTAGGATTAAACTTAGTGACAAATTCTGAATCAGTAGGATTTCATATGTGAGTGTGAAACTGGAAGAAGTTTTATTATACTTAGGTGGTTTGACTCTGAATTTTTAGGAAAGTAAAGTTTTCTGACCTCAGTTGTTAAAGATTCTAAGATAGAGTAAATGGAGACTGACATGGTGTGGTATCTGGGTTTCTGGTACCATTTTTTGTAGAGAAGTAGCTATAGGTGACCTAGTGATGGAAAATCTTGGTATTAAGAGCTTCTGATTACCAGATAGTAGGTGGAGTTTATTTTTGGTACATATTAGAATCTTTGCAATGGTGAGTAGTAGTGGACTTTGTGATATGTTGACATACATTAGAGAGTAAAGAAGAATTGAGTGGCTAAAAAGTTCTATGAGAAATACACCTACTGAACAGTCAAAGTGAATGAAGAACTGGTTGGTTGATGTCTTTAATGCCATCCTCCTTTACTGAACCAGTAACTTAAATACTTGCCTTTCCGTCTGCCTTCTCCTTTCCTCCACCTTTCCCTCTCCCCCCACCTTTCATCAATATTAATTTAGAAATGAATAACACCAGGAGCCAGTTGTATTAAGACACCAGTCTCACCTCTGTAGTATTCATGGGTCTCAGGTAAATCCCTACATATACCACTTATCCCTTAGTGTAGTACAGGGTGACTCAGCAAACCCGATGAAAGGCTAAGCAGGCAAAATAGTCACATTTGGCCAATTACCTAATGCTAATGTTCCCAGTATTCCCATTTGGAAAGACATGAAAGCAGTTTGGGAAAGGCCGGGATTTTTTAGTAATCTGGCCTATATACGCTCTTGTGACGTGGGACTTTTACAGATGATAATGGCTTTCTCTCCTCTACTTCCATCCCTCTTTTTTTTTTTTTTTTTTCTGTTCACCTGTGTTCCTCTCACCTCCCCTCTTTTCTGCCCTTTGACTTTTTCCTGTCTCCCCTACCCCATGTCTCCGTTGATTTTTATTCTTTCAGCTTTGTCACCGAAAAGACCTGGATTTGACAAAAGTAGGATATCTTGACTCCAACACTAACAGCTGTGCTGATAGACCTTCCCTGCTCAACTCAGGTCATTCTGACCTGGCTCCTCATCCCTCCGTCGGGCCCACTTCTGAGACTGGCTTCCCAAGCAGGAGTGGAGATGGACATCAGACCCTTGTGAGAAATTCAGACCAGGCATTTCGAACAGAGTTCAACTTGATGTATGCCTACTCCCCTTTGAACGCTATGCCTCGAGCAGATGGATTATATCGAGGTTCTCCTCTAGTGGGAGATAGGAAGCCTTTACATTTGGATGGGGGATATTGTTCTCCTGCAGAAGGATTTTCTAGCAGATATGAACATGGTTTTATGAAAGACCTCTCTCGGGGATCCATGTCACCTGGTGGCGAAAGAGCCTGTGAGGGAGTCCCATCTGCCCCCCAGAACCCACCACAGAGGAAAAAGGTAAGTGTTATGTTACATAGGCCCCCTGTTGAAGAATGTTAACCAACTAAATCAGTAGACATTTAACAAGTTCCTGCTGTGTGTTTAGCACTGTTCTTGGATAAGTAATAAGACATAGTCTCTGCCACATCCAGTGAAAGACAGATTGTCTTAATGCAGTTTCGTGAATGTTATAAATATTTGGCGAATACAAACGTGCCATGTACTTGCTAGGCAATTCAAAGGTTAAAGCAATGAAAAAGAAGAATAATTGCTTATGATTTAGCACTTCCCAAGTTGTATACGCTATGTTAAGCTCTTTAAATGCATTTTATCTTCACAATAATCCTATAAGGTAATTTCCCGTTTTGCAGATGAAGAAACAAAGGCAAGTTGAGTAACTTTCCCATAGTCACACAGCTAATAAGTAGAAGGGTTCACACACTACCCAGGTCCATCTGATGCCACATTGCATGTTCTTATTATCACCATCCTGTATTGCCTCCCAGGTTCTTCCCTGTGGGAGCATATACTGCGTGAGACTGAGCTTTAGTAAATAATTACATTAAGAAGTAACAGTGGCTCGGCGCCTATAGCTCAACCGGCTAAGGTGCCAGCCACGTACACCTAAAGGTGGCGGGTTCGAATCCCCAGCCCAGACCCACCAAAACAACAATGACGGCTGCAACCAAAAAATAGCCGGGCGTTGTGGCGGGCGCCTGTGGTCCCAGCTACTTGGGAGGCGGAGGCAGGAGACTCGCTTGAGCCCAGGAGTTGGAGGTTGCTGTGAGCTGTAATGCCACGGCACTCTACCCAGGGGGACAGCTTGAGGCTCTGTCTCAAAAAAAAAAAAGTAACAGTGATGATGGATGCACTAAAGAAGTTGCTTATGTGTGGTGATAGCACCTTAACAGGGGGACCTAACCTAGTCAGATATGTAGAGGGTGCTCTGAGAAGAGGCAAGAGGTCAGGATGAGGTATGTTACTGTAAAGGGAGCAGAACATGTAAATATGTGACATTCCACCAGGCAGTCAGAAGGGATGCAGTGTGATACAGTCAGTTGAATGTTGTGGTATCAGGTGGAAGGCAAGGAGAGCCAGGAGTTAAGTCCAGAGGGAAATGATCAAAGTCGGTCATAGAGAGCTTGTTAAGAGCTTGGGACACCACTTACAAATAATCCTGATCTAGAAACCACAGTGCCCAAAATGTACTTTTTCGTATTAATCATTCTCAACTAGGGCCATTTCGAAATGCATAGGAGTATTTGGGGTTGTCACACTGCCTTGGCATTTATTGGGATGCTAGATGTCCTATGTATAAGATAGTCTCAAATAGTGGCAAAATAACTGTAATATCCTCATTATAATGTATCATTAATGACTTTTTGTATTTTCTTTACAATGAAATACGTTATTATTATTTATTATGAATTTTTTCTAAGATTATATATTAAAAATGTATATGCAGATTTGTCTTTACATGTTTTTGTTGTATTTTATATTTGAACCTAAAAATGAGCTTTTCAAGGGAATAGAAAAAGGAGGAAACACTGACAGATAATTTGGAATAAAATAGTAATGGGTTTTAAAGACTGTTGCATGACGGTCTTTAAGTATTGACCATCAGAAACAAATATGAGTAAGCACGGTGGCCATGGGAGTCGGAATCCACTAAGTAGTATGTAACAACTCACCTGCTTATCTGCAGTGGGCTAAATTCTATCCTAGACCCAAATAAACTTGGCCGTCATAAAACCTGTAGTTTAGTCAGGGAACAAGACACTGTGAAAGGTTTTATAGCTAGTATAAGCACAGCGTGTTGCAGTAGCTAAGAGGAGGTAGGTATACTAGGTGAGGCAGGGAAGGAGGCGTCTGCTGTAGCAGGCAGGAAAGGAGGAGTAAGGATTAAGCAGTGAAGAGGGGGTTGGAGAGAAGTCACCAAGTATAGGTTTTCTAGAGCTAGCTTGCTAAAGTATAAACTGGAAATAATTTCTTCTCCTTTTGATGTTTCCCAATTTGTAAGACAAATATAAAAAGATCCCTATGTGTGTGTTGAACAGTTGAGCATATTTAAGAACCCTGGAGCATTGGCTTTTTCTGCTTTATTTTTTAAATAACCAACTCTAGAGTTTCCTAGGGAGTGAGTGCAAAAGAGCCATGAGGATGACTTGGGAGGCTTTCTCAAACCATACATGCTTCCAGTTCTCCACGTTCCCTTCCTTCTGTAGGTGATCCCATTCTTGTACATAACTCTGGTGGCACCCTTTTGTTACTAGGTAATGATAAACTTACAAATTTTTCTGAAGGCAGAAAAGTCTTCTAGTTTATTCTCTTCCCTTTACCAGTTTCTAACTGGCTTAAATATGCAGCTGTGCTCAGATCTGTCACACCTGTAAAAGTTATGGTTGATGCCTACTTAGTTTGTGTGACTTGGATAGTGGTTTGCTGAGGTTCCTTCTTTCCCTCTTTCCCCATCACTAGTGATCCACTAATGATATCCAGCTAGAGTACTGCTTCTTTTTCCCTTTTTAGGTATCCCTGCTGGAGTACCGAAAACGGAAACAAGAAGCCAAGGAAAATTCTGCTGGTGGGGGAGGTGACTCTGCACAGAGTAAAAGCAAGTCTGCAGGAGCTGGGCAAGGCAGCAGTAACTCTATTTCTGACACTGGTGCCCATGGTGTGCAGGGATCCTCAGCCCGAACTCCATCTTCCCCACACAAGAAATTCTCCCCATCTCATTCTTCTATGTCCCATTTGGAGGCGGTAAGCCCATCCGATTCCAGAGGCACTTCTTCATCTCACTGCAGACCTCAAGAGAATATCAGCAGTAGGTGGTAAGTTCATAATTACAGTCAGGAAGGAAGCATATTTCTAGGATCATTCCTAGTTTTACCTAAAATGTATGGGAAAACTTGATCTGAGAGAGCCAGCCAACAGTGCCATCTGTCTGTTAGCTGATTTAATAACATCAGCTGCAACTTCCCAGCTTGCAGAAGTAAAGAATTAGCACAAGCCCACGGAGTAGCCCTTTAGAAGACGTATAGTTGCGGATGCAGATGAGTTGTTTTATTTGGTGGGCACTAACACTGCCTCTTCTGTTTTCTCATTTTTTATTCACGGAAGTCAAGAGTTTAGCAAAGTTCCACTTGCATTAACAAATGTCTCTATTCCACATAGCTAGCATGTGTAGAACAGTAAGACATTCTGGAAGAACTTGTATGGTTTAGGGAAGACCAAAAACAAAAACATAAATAATGCTGGCAGCAACTACTGAGTGAAATGGAGAATGAAGTACTGAAGTTCAGGGATCTTGGACTAAAGAAATGATTCTGGGGTAGAAAAGACAAAGCTCAAATAACATTCATTTATAATACCTTTATTAAACTTCTGTGTGACAAGCACATGATTTCACAGAGAAAATTTAGCATTTCAAAATGGGTATAAACACAAGTTGACATCCACTTTTTAAAGGAAGTTAATTCACTTTTTCCTTAATGTGTTTCTTATTTTCTCTTTTGTGTCTGACGTACTTTGAGGCAGAGGAAATAACTTCTTTTAAATGACTCCTGAAGAAAGTAATGTTTAAGAGGATATTTTAAGAGAATATCATACTCTTGACTCTTAAATCCTGTGGCTTAAACTTGCACCCTGTTGTCTTTATAGGATGGTTCCCACGTCAGTAGAACGACTCAGAGAGGGTGGGAGCATCCCCAAGGTCCTCCGAAGCAGTGTGAGGGTGGCCCAAAAAGGAGAGCCCTCTCCCACGTGGGAGAGTAACATCACAGAGAAAGACTCAGGTGAGCCCATGGCTTTCTGCTGCCAGCCAGGTTCAGAGACATGTATGCCAGGCTCTGCACAGTTTACACCAAATATTGGGATGAGGTGAGTCAGTTTCTGACACAGTTGGGCTCTGATATATACTAGGTTCCAGCCCAGTCTTGCTCTTTTGGGCTACCACATTTGTAAGATCTAGCATTGCTTGCTCTCTGTCTGCTCTTTTTTCCTAAGGGATACCTTTCTGTAATTCTCATCTCTCCAAAGTCCTGGAAATCCACTTCGATGAAGGATGAAGAGAAAGAAGGAGACGGGATGCAGATCAGGCATTTAAAACATAGCCCATAATTAACCACTCCTTTTGCCCTTTTGGCTTGCTGCACTCACCCAATTTGTCACAAAGAGAGCAGCATGGGTTGGTGATGGCATTGGTAACTTGAATGAACAGTGGCTATTTCTCACTTATTCTAAAAAGCCAAGTTGATTTTTTTCCTGTTACCTTCCAGACCCTGCAGATTCAGAAGGCCCAGAGACATTGAGCTCAGCACTCTCTAAAGGAGCAACCGTTTACAGCCCTTCTAGATACAGCTACCAGGTGAGATGAGAAACTGCTGATCTCTGAGCATAATTGTGTGTTCTGGGTTCCAAATGTTTTGTGATCCTGGCCATTCTTTGCAGCTAAGATGCTGTCTTTGCATATAGTTTCAGCAGCGTTGGCAGTAAATCATCATCTGCTCACCCTCAGGTAATAAATTATGCCAGAAAATAAGATTTTTAAAGACAGCCATTTTACTGCTTTTGGTATCCTAAAAAGAACAAATGGGTAAAAAGATGAAGTTTTTTGAAGTAGGGCATTGTGAATATTCACAAGCTGTTTAAGGGACTTGATCACCTCCTTATGCTTTTCCTCCCAATTCTTTCTAGCTCCTACAGTGTGATAGTCCACGGACAGAATCACAAAGCCTCCTTCAGCAAAGCTCCTCCCCCTTTAGAGGACATCCCACCCAATCTCCAGGATACAGTTATCGAACTGCTGCACTGAGACCTGGAAACCCCCCCTCTCACGGTTCTTCAGAGTCATCCCTCTCCTCCACGTCCTATTCCAGCCCTGCCCACCCTGTGTCCACAGACTCGTTGGCCCCATTTACGGGGACACCAGGGTATTATAGCAGCCAGCCACATTCTGGAAACAGCACTGGTAGCAATCTTCCACGGAGGAGCTGCCCTTCTAGTGCTGCTAGCCCTACCCTGCAGGGACCCTCAGACTCGCCGACCTCAGATTCGGTTTCTCAGTCCAGCACAGGAACTCTGAGTTCCACCTCCTTTTCTCAGAACTCTCGGTCGTCGTTGCCATCAGACTTACGGACTATCAGTCTGCCCAGTGCTGGGCAGTCATCTGCCTACCAGGCCTCCAGGGTATCTGCGGTTTCCAATTCACAGCACTACCCACACCGTGGGAGTGGGAGTGTGCACCAGTACCGACTCCAGCCACTGCAAGGGTCAGGAGTCAAGACTCAGACAGGACTTTCCTAGGGCTTCTGGATTTGGGCAAACAGAACTGAATGAGCCCATAGCTGCTTCCTTCCAGCTGCCTCTGGAACCTAGGCCGAGCATATTGCTGGGGAAGGGGGGGGTACATGGTGCCAGAGGATTGGGTCTGGTGGACAAGAAACAAGACTTACGGTCGTGGTTGGCCTCTGGCCTTGGAGAAAGATGTAAATCTTGTCTGAAGCAGAGACTATAAAGAAGTTTCTCCCTGCTGTTAAGGGTACATTGTTGACAAGCAAATGGTGTTTCGGTTAGTAATGGTTCTAAGTGCAATGAGTTGTGTCGAAGCCTCCATCTCCCATCCTTGCCTGTAGCCTATAGTCACAATGTGCAGTGAGGACATCTTTTAAATTAAAATTTTTTTTCTTTTCAAAGGAAAAAATTAAAAGCCAATTTCAAAGCCCCAAGCCATTTGAGTAGTGTTAGGGTTTTATGCACTTAAGAAGAAAGGTAGGTATCTAAACGTTCACCCTAAGGCAACCATTCCAAAAGCAGGTATCTGGCCAAGGTGTTTCCACCAAAAATACTACTTACCTTTGTCTTAAAATCACCAACAATTAGACAGGGATAGTAAAGCTTGGAACATGCTCTGACTGAGGGGTATCTGGCTCTTTGAAGAAGAGCTCATGGTCAGTTGTTGATTATTCGGGAGCAGATTGTCTGAGTAAAATTTCTGAGCCCTCAGTGGTTACCATCCTACCCCCCCTTCCCAAGATACTTCACAGCTTAATAACGCATGAAGTAAGTAGATGAAAGAGGAAAGAGAAGTGAGATAGACCAATTAGATTGCTATTTAACCAACTTTTGGCAATAAATTTGATTAAGAAGGGATACTGAGTGGTTTGGGAATGCTTTGAATTTTATTATTTCTACTCTCAATTAATCAGGAGTTGATGATCCCATGAGCAGGACTGCCTCCATCAATGGGGAGCACGCACTCGTGACTGTAGGGTAAGAGTGGGAAGATAGGTTTGTGGAGTGGCACCGACAGGACCATGATTGTGTTTGGGCCTGCCCCACAGTTCTTTGGGGGACACTTACGTGAGAGTGGGCCCAGTAAGAGAGTTACCAAGCCACCCACACCCCTAACACTGTTCTGGAAGAGAGATGAGAGCAGACTGGCTTCTCCCCATCAGTGCATTGTGCCTGTTGTACACCCCTGGAGGAGCCCTGGAGCCAGCCCAGGCGGGGTACACAATCTTTTTAAATTCCATACAGTTGCCAGCTTATTTCTTTCACTTGTTTACTGTAATATCTGGCGTGTTTTTATTTATCTAATTTTGTATTCAGTTATAACCATGGTAGGGGTAGTGAATATATGACAGGTGTAATCCCTGGTGCTGCAGTGGACCTTCTTTTCTTTTGGACAAGATAAT